GAGAGAGAGAGAGAGGGGTGGGGTGGAAGAGGGAGAGAGAGAGAGAGAGAGAGAGAGAGAGAGAGAGAGAGAGAGAGAGAATCTTTTATGGAGCGGGTTGTTTCAGCACGTGAGACATATTTACTAATGTCCTGTTTTGTTATACGTATGCGTGAGTGCACCTAACTTGTGTAACATCCATTGACATTGTAATCGACCAAGACAAATTTCTCCCTGCGAGATGAATAAAGATTGTCATTGTCATTGTCATTATACATATAATATAATGCACAAAAGAACAGTCAGATCAAACATCACAAGACTTAAAAGATCCAACTTCATCAACAAAGAAAGCAGACAAATCCAAAGATCCCCTCAGGACCATCTACCAGCCACAGTGAACATGCTGAACCACACCCCACAGGCACCATCATGGGAAAAGACAAACACTAACATAATTATACACACGTCCATTCCTATGTTCACCTCAAAAGATGACCTCAGCGACCTGAGCAAGAAATCCCTCACCCTGTCCATGCTTGAAGAAAGATACCCCCGAGAAGCCTGGATAAGGATCTATCTGTCCCCGTCGTTTTATGCAAAATAAATTCTGAAAGTATGCAGACTGAGCCCAAAAAATGTGAAATTATGCGATTCTGTTAATTTTAACAAAGACTGATAAAGGAAAATAATCAGAAATTATGCCCAAAAAGATCAAATTTTGCTATATGCGGGGTGCATAAAACCACGGGGACAGATCTATACGAACGGATCTGCCACTGATGCTGTGAAAAGTGGAGGAGCCGGAGTGTACGTACAGTTCCCAAATGGACGACGACAAGCAGAGGCAGTCCCAACAGGGCGACGTTGTACAAACTACAGGGCAGAGACGGAGGCTCTAATACCTGAAGCAAACATCATCAAGAATGTGGTAGACCCCCAAAGCCAAGTAATCTAGTATCCTTAACAAATGCTATGTCAGTACTGCAAGCAATCACTGCCGGCAAACTACCAAGGCTACGAGAAGTAATTGAGGACATCCCATGTCTGAGGATCATGCTGCAGTGGATTCCATCGTACTATGGTGTCTTAGAAAATGAGCAGGCAGACGGAATGGCCAAACTTGGAGCACAGAAAGAGCAACCAGACAACAGCGTCAACAACACAGAAATAAAAACTATTATAAGTACACTATTTAAAGTACCACAGACACCAAATAGCTACCATGAGCTGTCCCACCAAGCAAGAACAAGTGATTCTCTTCGGACTAAGAACACAACACACAAGACTGAGACAACATAATAATATGTACAGATGTTTTAAACTAGAACAATCACCAAAATACCAGTGTGGAGAAGCGGACCAAACTGTTGAACACATCTTTCAGCACTGCAAGACACACGGCCTTGAGACAGGAAACGTGGCCAACCCCACTGACGCTACAAGAGAAGCTATACGGGCCGACAGATGAACTGAGCAGGACGGCCCAATTTATGACAGATACCAAACTTCAAGCGTGATGCGATCGAGAAGAAGAAGAAGAAGAAGAAGAAG